CAAGGTAGTAATATTACCATATACAAGGTAGTAATATTACCATATACATAAGGTAGTAATATTACCACATATACAAGGTAGTAATATTACCATATACACAAGGTAGTAATATTACCATATACAAGGTAGTAATATTACCATATACATAAGGTAGTAAAATTACCACATATACAAGGTAGTAATATTACCATATACACAAGGTAGTAATATTACCATATATACAAGGTAGTAATATTACCATATACACAAGGTAGTAATATTACCATATATATAAGGTAGTAATATTACCATATATACAAGGTAGTAATATTACCATATACATAAGGTAGTAATATTACTATATATACAAGGTAGTAATATTACCATATATACAAGGTAGTAATATTACCATATATATAAGGTATTTAGAAAAAATAATTCTATTCCTATTTTTTAAACCATTTAACAAAATTAAAACAATAATTTCCTATATTACACTTTGCTTTATAAAATTACTCTCTTGTCATGTAGGATCTTACTCCTGTTGATGGTAGCGTAAAGTTACCAAAACATATAGTTTGTTTAATTTTGGCCGTCGGCCAAATGAAATTTTAATGTGAATTTTAAACGTTGATTTTAAAATTTATTTCACAAGTTGCTGAAATTCAATCCTCATACATGTATATTCTCAGTTCTTCACGCCTATGTAACAAGAAGATTTAATAAATGTAATTAAGGCCTTCATCTCATTCACAATCCACGGTTTTTTTTTCAAAGGGGCAACGAATATATAATAACTTAACTCCTAACGAGATAGAAATTATAATTATTCTACATACAAAGGAAAATATACGAATGGACATAATAACTCGCGTCCAAGAATTTTCAAAAAATCTAATGGAAGAAGAAACGACAAAGCCAGAAACTAAACGTTAAATATTTTATATATATATGTGTGTGAAATCTATTAAAAACTAGAGCGTGTGTCACGTGTCTTCATTTTTTGGTTATCCAGATGTATCGTTTTTCTTCAAGCCTTGTTTTTCCTGTCATTTTACTGTCTGTAAAACTTCGATGAACGGTAAATGTCACGTGAAAGAAAAAAACACCGCTTAGTGTTATATTATTTTCTCAAGAGTTAACTTGTGATCTTAACCCTCAACTTTAACGTGACATTGTCGGTGCTTTTCAACAAAACATGTTACCTATCCTCGTGCCTTCTGGCGCGTAATGTAAGGAAAATATCAAGGCTAACTGAAAGCACACGAATCAAGGCCAGAAATTGGCACTTAAATAGATATAACGTAAAAGCAAGAAAAGGTTGAATTAATTAAAGTCAGTTCTCAGATTATTTCACAACCATGAATGATCAACATACTTAACTGTGCAATACCAGAAGTACGATACTACGGTTTTGTAAAGAATACCTATCCGATGTTTCGATCACCAAACATATATTGTTTGTTTGTTTGAAGTTATGCACAAAGCTACACAATGGGCCATCTGTGGTCTGCCAACCACGGGTATCGAAACCCGGTTTCTAGCGTTGTAAGTCCGCAGACATACCGCTGTGCCACTGGGGGGGCCCAAACATATATATTTACCACGTAGACATTGGACAATTGGACTGTCTCCTGAAAGGTCAGAGGTAAAAATTGACCTCCCAAAAAAGAAAAAAGTTCTAAAAATTTAACCGTCTTTTTTATACAAAGGACAAAGGGTTCAAACCCAAATATTTAGAATAATTTAAGATCGGTTGTTGGATGTTATTAAGCACAAAGCTACACAAAGACCTCTGTCAACCACGGGTATCGAATCCCGGTTTTTAGAATAATGTAAAAAGGAAAGTAGAATTGGAAGTTGTTAGTGCCTTTATGGATGTTTAATCATCTTCACTGATATGATATTCGAAGCAAGATGAAAAAGGAATTTTTAAAAAATATGTACACTGTAGAGTGAACTGTATATGATGTGAATTCACATAGATAATAGCCAAATACTGAACTGATAAATATGTACACTGTAGAGTGAATTGTATATGATGTGAATTCACATAGATAATAGCCAAATACTGAACTGATAAATATGTACACTGTAGAGTGAATTGTATATGATGTGAATTCACATAGATAATAGCCAAATACTGA